TTTTAACTGTGGCGGAAAGTAGCTCAGCAAATGAGATAGTAATTATAAAGCACTCAGCACAGTGCCTGGCACATTTGTTATTGTGCAGCTGTTTCAGCCATGTCCAACTCTTTGTGACCCCCTTTGGGGTTTTCTTGGCAAACATAACTGGAGTGGTTTGCCATTTCCTTCTCCAGCCTGGCACATAGTAGGTGCTTAATAGATGTTTATTGCTTTCTTTCTAGTATGTTTTGTTTCTTGGTTTGTAACTGCCACAAAAAGGCTGGCCCTCCAAGAGTTCCCTACTTAATATGCAGTAACCAGTGATTGGCTAAGAAGTCAGTTACCCACAGTTCTCAGCATCTGAAACATTCCAAATCAAGAGAACTTTGCTTTATTGTATCCTAGTAGCCAAGAAGTGAAGAAGCAAGCAGGGCAGGTCGCCTTAAGGCATACTGCTCTATTCACTTTTTCAGTGCTTTACCTTCTTGTTTCTGACTACCTCGAGTTAGAAACCACACAAAGGAAAAGAAATGGATGAAGAGCAAATCTGTATATTCTATATACCAATATCTTATCCAGTAATAGGTAAGTTTACTTTATTCTCCCTGGAAGTTTATTGAGGGCTCAGTGTAAGAAGCCAGTGACTACAGGCCAGGCAGATCTTAGAGCTAAGACTGGAATCCCAGTCTTCTGACCCCAAGTCTGATGCTCTGGACCATACTTCCTTACTTGCCCCCCAGATAGAAATCTTCATGGAGGAGTTATATTTTGATTTTGAGTCTGTAGAAAGCCAGGAGAAGAGAGGGAAAGGAGATAGGTTCATCTAATTGTTGGGGTTGAGGATTATGGAGGGCGAAGGTTCATCTAATTGTTGGGGTTGAGGATTATGGAGGGCAAAGGGAAAGGAGAGATATTCTTATTGTTGGGGTTGGGGTAATGGGACAGGGGGAGCAGGTGTTTGACTGGTTTCAGGGAAGACGGGGGATGAGGGGAGTTTGGAAAATGCAAGGAGTTGTGCAGTATTGAAGTTTGTAGCGAAATGAAGGTGTGGTTTAAAGCCTCCCTAGGAGTTTGGAGGGAAACTCATGTAACAATAGTAACATATTTAAGCCATTTAAAACATAGGAAAAACCTGGGAGTATATTTCCAACTGAGAGAGCCCAATAAGAAGTGAGTTCCACTTCAAAGAAGTGGAGAGCATTCTCCAGGGGGTTGAAATCAATCTAAGAAGGTGACTCTTCCAAGTAGAATTTCAGTAGGAAGTGGGCTCCTTGAGGAGAGGGCCTATTTGTGGTTGGTTTTTGTTGGTTGATTTTAACTTGTACATGGACTCAGAATTCTCACGGCCTGCCCTACAGCAAGTGATTAATAAATGTTTACCTGTCAAACTGTTGGATGGGACCATTTTCCAAATGACAGGGTCCAGATATGTGGCTTGTGACCATTCATAGGCATGTCTGTAAGTCTCAGTGACCACACGTTTGTTCAACAGACATTTACTTGGTGCCAGCTAGAGGCAGCTGAATAATGCCCAGAGGAGCATTTGGGCTTTTAGTGAGGAAGCTCTGAGTTCAAGCCTAGTCTCGGACACTTTTTAACTCTGTGACCCTCAGCAAGTCACTTAACCTCAATCTGCCTTAATTTCCTCATCTGTAAGATGGGGCTGGGGGGGGGGTTAAAAATAGTACCTACCTCCAAGGGTTGTGAGACTGAAATGAAAAAATTATAAAGTACTTAGCCCAGTGCTTGGCACACAGTAGGTGCTTAAGAAATGTTTATTCCTTTCCTTCTCTTGCTATGTGCCAAGCACAGTGCAAGGTGCTGGGTTTATAAAGAAGAGTGAAAAAGTCCCCACCCTAAGGAGAGCCTGAGCAGGCAAACAGCCTCACTTTCCTCCTCTCTGAGTCTGTAAATCTAGGATACTAGAAGTGCTCTGATTGCTCTGATGCAAAGCATTGATGCAAGAAGTTGGAGCTTTTACACCCAGGTGGTTACCTCAGTGCTAAAGAAATGTTTAATTCTGGAGACTTTGTGACTCTGATAGCTGGTTTTTCCTTTGTGTTTAGCATCATTGGCCTCCAGGTAGCAAGTGAGTTTGCCTTCTCACATCTAGTTAGGAGAGAAGTTGAATGGAAGACTATCTCCTCTAAGCTTTTCCTGATCCCCTCATACACACACACACACACACACACACACACACACACACACACACACACACGCACACCAATCAATCAATTAGCATTTATTAATAAATGCCTGCTATGTGCCAGGCACTGTGATCAACCAGAAGTGTTCTCTCCCTCCTTGAATTTCTAATGGACTTTTGTTTGTATTTCTCCTGTTCATTCAAACAGTGACTTAGATTCAGGAAACCTGGGTCCAAATCCGGGCTGCAACAGTACTTCCCTCTTTGCTTGTGTTAGCTCTCTCACAAAGTACTTGGGAGAAATGTGCTTCATGGGCAGCTAGGTGGCACAACGGATAGAGCATCAGCCCTGGAGTCAGGAAGACCTGAGTTCAAATGCAGCCTCAGATGCTTACTATCTGTTTAACCCTGATTGTCTCCAAAAAGAGGAAAAGAAAAAAAAGAGATAAATGTGCTTAATAAAGTAGGCAGCAGGTTTATCTGAGGCAGGTGGTGTGGGGGACAGTGCCCAGAGTCAGGAAGATACTCTCAGCTACTTTACTAGCTGTGAGACCGTGAACAAGTCACATAACATCTCTTCAGGACTCATGAAAAGTAGCATGGCACCAGGGACAGGGGACTGGAGTTAGTTCAGGAAGATCTGGGTCTGATCCCGCCTCTGACACTTAGTGACTTTGTGACCGTTGGGCAAGTCCCATAAGCCCATAAGGAAGCTAACTTCCTCAGCTGTAAAATGGGGATAATACCTGTGATCCTTGCCTCCCAACATTTTGTGAGCCTCCTCTGTCTACCACCATCCCTGGCATTTGAAAATGTTTGTTGAGTTAGATTGATAGGGTTGAGATGCAACAACAATTGATTTCCACCAGAAAGAGTGACCAGTTTCCATCTTTCACTTGGTTCTTCAGTTGGTACAAGGGGAAAGTATTTGACAAATCCCAGAAGGCTTTTTTCATGGAGCTTGTTCCAAGCTGAATCTGAGGGCTGGAGAAATAGTACATGTTCCCTGGGCAGAGAGGATCAGCATGGGGATATGTTTTCATTAAAAGGAAACTGCAAAGAAATTTTATTAGAAACTCAATGTTCGGCCTCCAAGAACTCAGCCGGCTTCTAGTTGCCTGAATCCCAAGGTTCGTTTTGGTTTTTCCCGACATGGCCTTAGAGAATAGGGATGAAGAAGGAGAGCAAGGTATGAGGACAATTGTGGGTTAACAAATGAGCCGCATTGGGCCAACTGATTTCCTTTCTGCTTGGATTAGCAAACTAGTAGATAAAAGGCTTATAGGAGATGAACTGTCTTTGGACTGTTGCAAAGCTTTTGAGTCCGTGTTTTATGAAATTTTAATTGAAAAACTTAAAATTCCGGGTGCTCCTTCTGATGGCAGTGGGGGTGGGGAATGGGGCGAAAAGAGGTAGAAAAGAAAAAGGGATTTCTGGGATATCAGGCGTCCATCTCAAATGTATCTTATGTAGTCCTGGTTTTAAAAAAAAGAGCTCATATTTATGCAGTCTTATAGAGAGAGAATGTGAGGCATCCAAAGATGAAGGGAATCATGCTTCTGGTATTGTTTGAAGACTTGGAATTTTAAAACTTCTCAAAGCTAGTCCAGAGCTCCTAGCAACCCAGCTCCTGAATGAGGTACCCTTGAATTAGCCACCATTCTTCTTTGGAGAACACCTTTGTATGATGTTGAGAATGCAGATGCTACTATTCACATTCGACAAAGAAGTAAACTGAGGCCACAAAAAGGGAAGTAATTTGCCCAAGGCTACACACTGAGGCAAAGAATTAGAGCATCTCCAAAGTTGGAAAGGACCACAGAAGTCATCTAGCCTAAGCCATTCCTGAATGAGAAATACCTTCTCTGATACTGCTGCCAAATGACCATCCAGCATCCACTCGAAGACCTCCAGTGATGGAGAGCTCACTACTGGTTTGGGCAGGCCATTCCACTTTAGGGATAGCTCTCATTGTTAAAGAGGTTCTTGCTTATATCCAGCTGAAATAGACTTCCTTGTAACTTTCACTTATTGCTCCCAGTTCTGTGCTTTGGGGCCAACCAAAACAAAGCTAATCCTTCTTTCCCATGGGGCTTCTTAAGATCCTTGAAGCCACCTAGTATGTCTCCCTGCCACCCCACCTCCCAATCAGTTACTACTTCCATGTCTGTTACCTTCTATCCACTCCCATTACTACCACCCTATTTCCTTACCTCGGCATCCCTTGCCTAGACCACTGAAATAGCCACCTAATCACTCTCTCTGCTTCTACTCTACTCTCTCCTCCCCCCAGTTCATCCTCTACACAGATCTGACCATTAGCTCCCCTGCTCAGAAAGCTGTAGTGGCTCCCTATTATTTCTAGGGTGAAATGCAAACAGCTTACCTTGTACTTGAAGCCCTCCATAATCTGGTTGCAAACTCTCTTTCCATGTATTTCCCCTTCCTTCCCTCCATGCCATCTTCTCTTCTTCGGGTGAAATATCCTCAGTTCCTTCAAGCAATCCTTCCTTGCATGGCCTAGTCTCCACTCCTCTTAAGACGTGTTCTTTCAGAGCTGGAACTCAAGTCTATGTTTCCTGACTTGCAGGCCAGGGTTCTTGTCCTTGTGCCCCATTACCTTTGGAAGGCAACCTATGATGACTGAGGTCAAAGATCGAGGAGACAGAATCCCAACGATGTATTCTTTGTATACTATCCAATAAAGGGGACCTACCCCAGGCTTGTAATGTCACAGAGGCCAGCATGTCTTAAGAGTCCCTGAGCTTCCCTTTCTCAGTCTTGAGCCCTCCTCCCCCCACCTTGGTGGGGATCCAAGTCTGGCACCCTTAACATCATCTCTAGCAGGGCTTTGTTTTTCCCTCCTCTGTAGGACTGAACCAGCTGCCTTTTGACCCATCCATCAGCCACGAGCCACTGCACTTTTGCAGCCCTGCTGACAGTCCATTGCTGTCAGAAGGTCAGGTTGAGAATGAAGAAGAGACGAGCAAGAAACGAAAACGAACGAGTGAGAGCACAGGTGAGTGAGGTAGAAGCGTGCCATCTTGTGTGCCATCACTGTCTTGTCGTGCCAACCCTAACTAGCTGCGTAGTGTTTGCACACACTGAGCATCTTATCTGGTCCAGCCTGTGGTCCCAGGAGAGGGAGAGTGCAAATAAGATGGCCTGTGCCCCCCATTTTCCAGATACGGAGCAACCTGGAGTAGTAGAAAGAACAATGGCTTCCAAGTCACAGGATTCGAATTCTAGATTTGAATCCCTGCTCTGCTACTTCCTGGCAAGGTAACCTTGGCACTCAGTCTCCCTGAGCTTCAATTCTCTTCTCTGTAAAATAAGGAGTTTGGACTAGATTGACCTTTAAGGTCCTCAGTGCCAGAGCCCGACAAGAACTCAGGGCTCCTGCCTCAAGATCCCGTCTTTCCATTCCACCAAACTCCCTGTGATTGTGGGACAGCTTCGCTTTGGATGTTTCTGCCCAAACAACCAAAGGAAGAATCATAGACCCACAGATCTAGGCCTAGGAGGGGTCTTGTGGGTCACTGAGCCCAAGCCCTTCATTTTACAGAAGAGAAAACTGAGGGCCAGAGCAGTAAAATGATTTGCCCAGTGCCCCACAGGGGTCCCACCAAGCTGGGAATAGAACTGACGACCACTGACTCTAAATCTGGCGGCGCTCCATATGGCACATGCTTGTCTTTTCTGTCTGCACAAATCAGGGGATCTTTGTCATTAACTCTTATTAACCAATCTTCCAACATGATTTGTGTGTTTTCTGGGCTTTCTTTCACTGCTGTCAAACCAGAGAAAGCTAGCTAATGGTTTTCAGTGCATAAAATGTCATGAATAGAATCATGCTTACACTTTGGCTGCACCTTATAGCGGCAGGTGCTTTTCTAGCCTTTCCCTCATTTGCACCCCTCAGCAGCTCATCAGGTGGGGGGGCCAGAGAGGGGGAGTGACCTCTTCCCAGCCCCACAGCCAGGGAATGACAGAACAGGCCCTAGATCCCAAGTCTTTGGCGCTCTATCTGGCATTCTTTGCGCTTGTACGGAGAACAGCTAGCATTCCAGGATTTGTTGTTCCAAGCTGTGCTTTTTTTTCTGAGTCACTTTGTGTGTCCTTGTTGCATTCTTTCAGTTCAGCAAATGCCCAGTTGCATGAACATTTACTGAGCACCTACTACATGCAAGGTACTGTGTTAGGGAGCAGGGATACAGAGACAAAGCAAGACAATCACCACCTTCAAAGAGCAGGGGGAGGGGTTGGAAGGTAGGAGACAACACCTCCACAAATAAATAAATAGGAGGGAATTTGAGGGAGGAGATGATACTGACAGCCACCAAGTCTGCAAAGTCTTCCCAGAGGAAGAGGATTTTGAGCAAAGTCCTAAAGGAATCTCAGGATTCTCTGATGCAGAGGTAAAGTGGGAGAGGGGAGTCTGGAGAATACCCAATAGTATATAGAGTGCATGGAGGGAAGGAAGGGGAAATACACGGAAAGGGAGTTGGAGAGCCAGATTATGGAGGGCTTCAAGTATAACATAAGCAGTTTATATTTTGCCCTGGAAATAGTACAGAGCCACTATAGCTTTCTGAGCAGGGTGAGTGAATGGGCAGACCTGTGTAGAAGATAAACTGGGGGGAGGAGAGAGTAGAAGCAGAGGGAGCAGTTAGATGGCTATTTCAGTGGTCTAGGCAAAGGGTGATGAGGCAAGGAAATAGGGCACTAACCAACTTCTCAGCAAGAGGTCATATTGTTTGATGTCACTGTCATTTTGCCTTATTTGGAAACCTTCCAAAATGATTTGTGTGAGTTTTCTAAACTTTCTTTCACTGCTGTCAAATCAGAGAAAGCTAGCTAATAGTTTTCAGTTCCTAAAATGCCTTTGATAGAATTGTGTTCACGCTTCAGGTGCATTTTTTGATGGGAATGGAGAGAAGGTAACAGATTTGAGAGATATGGAAGTAGAATTTTTAGGAACTGATTAGCTATAGGGGGTGACAGAGAGAGGGAAGATTGAAGGATGACCCCAATGTTGCAAATGTGGGTGTCTCAGGATTGCGGTACCAACAGAAATAAGGGAATGTGGAGGAGGGAGTAAGTTGAAGAGAAGAAATAGCGAATCTCTTTTTAAACAATGTTAATTAAGTTTGAGACAGTGATAGTCTATCCAGATAGAAATGTCCAACAAATAGCTTTCAGTGTGGGAATGGTGATGTTTGGGAGAGAGATTAGGGCTCAGATGTAAGATTTGAGAGTCATCTTTGTACAGATGATAATTGAACCCATGGGAGCAGATAAAATCTTAGAGAAGGGGGTGGGGAGAGAGAAAGAGAGACAGAGACAGACAAGAACAGGACAAGACAGAACAGGATGGCATAGCTCAGGGTAGAGCCTTGGGGCACACTCATGCTAAGGACATAGAAGATGGGTGATAACACATCAAAGGAACCTGAGTTGGAGCAGCTGGACCAGGAGTGAACAGCATCCTAGAAGCCAAGGAGGAAGACTGCTCCAGAAGGAAAGAGTGGTCAGCAGTGTTAAAAACTACTGAAGAAGTCATACAGGATGAGGATTGAGAAATGGCCATTTGATTTAGCAGTTAAGAGATTTGGGGTTTCTCTGAAATATGTTTCAGACAAGTTGGTTGGGTTGGAAGTCCAGATGGCAAGGAGTTGAGGAGTAATATTGAGCAGGTGGGGAGGATTGTAGAGTTACTTGAAGGGTTTTTAATAATGAAAGAAATGTGGACTTGCTTTAAAGGGGCAAGATCTGGAAGAGACAGGAAGGGATGGGCCCTAGGGCACCAAGAGAGAGAGGTTAACCTTGACAAGAAGAAGGAGCATCTCTTCTTCAGAGACTGATGCAGACACGATAGGAGAGAATATAGGATGATGTAGTAGAATTTTAAGTTTTAGAGAAGAAGAGGGAGCTCGAGGAGGCCTTGTTGGAAAGGAGTATAGGGATAGTATAAAGGGTTGAGAAGTGAACATTTGGAATAGCTGCTGTGATGGAGTCAGTCAGAGAATAATAAAAGGCTAGCCATTGGCAGTGAGGGCCCAGCTAAGATAGGAAGACATACATTTGTAGTGGTTCAAATTAGCACAGTTGTGTAGCTTCTTCCAGTAGGATCCTGTGTCACCTGGACAGGACTAGACAGGGCAGATGATGGAGATATAGCAGAATTGGGATCTGGCAACGCAAGAATTTGGGCAGCTAGGTGGCTCAGTGGATGGAATGCCAGGCATGGAGTCTGGAAGACTCCTCTTCCTGAGTTCAGATCCAGCCTCAGACACTGGCTGGGTGACCCTGGGCAAGTCACTTCAACCCTATTTGCCTCACTTTCCTCACCTGTTAAAGATGAGCTGGAAAAGGAAATGGCAGTATCTCTGTCAAGAAAACCCCAAATGGGGTCACGGAGAATCAGACATGACTGAAATACAACTGAACAAAAGACAAGAATGATGATAAGACAAGGGGGTAAGGGACTCAATATCTATGTGGAGGACAGTGAATATTTGAACTAGTCGGCTTGGGAGCCAAGACTGAAGGGCTCAGGAAAATGAGGCCAGAGCAGGGGTCTGAAAGAACAGAGATGGATAGGGTGGTAAGGATGGAAACCATGTGTAGGAGGAGGGAAAGAGAGGGAGGGAGAGAGATGGGAGCCGCGATTGAGGTGTGGTAGGGCTTCTCAGGCAGATGGATGTTTCTGTGTAATCCTTAGGGTCCAAAATCAAAGCCCTGCTCAATTCTGAGCCTGGAAAACCAAATTCAAGTCAAACTGTGCTTCCTTGGGACCCTTGGGGAGAATGAGTCATTCTGCATAACCAGGTTTTTCATATGGATGAGTTTTTGCTGCTTTAAGTACCAAAATATGTTCTATTTTTTTTTTCAGTTTTAGATGTAAATTCTTCTAAAATATGTTAGCTTCTTCCTAGCCTTCTTCAACAGAATTATGTTGGGCGTAGATTCATCTTTTCTTGATGAGTTGAGGTCATCATTATGAAATCAATTATGGTACTTCCTGTACAGCAAACCCTCACCTCTATCCTCAGGGCCCAGGAAGGTGCATCCAGCAGTTCCCCTGTACAAGAAACAACCCTGACTTCTTGCTGCTGGTAGTGGGTTCAGCTGCTCTACCTAACCTTCTCATTTTCTCCAAGCTTGGAAGCTGAAAAATGAGCTTGTTTAGTGTAAACAGTCTGATAGTGATGGCCTCAAGGCCCTTCCTACTAATAAAGTGACTGAGCATTTTGACAGCCATTTTGTTGCTGTTTTCTTGATTCTCTGGGTTGAGGAGGGCTTGAGACAGCTGAGTTCTTGGTAGAAAAGGGTAGTTTACATTATAGTAAAATTTCTGAAATTCCAAGTAGCCAGGAAGGGCAGTCTGAATTGGTGGAGAGCCTGAATTATGGAATAGTTTTAACTTTGATTAGTTACAGAGATATCAAGGGACACTGACTACTAAGCAGGTATGGGGTTTTAACTAGGGAGCTGACAAAGTTGTAATTAGCAGAATCCACTAAAGCATCCTGGGCTTCCTTCTCTTGGGAATCGATTGCAAATGTTCTGGGCTTTTTCATCTTTAGGGATGGTAGAGGTACAGAGGAAAAGAGATCAGGAGAGGAATGTGCCAGTGGCTCACTAGCACCTTCCGAATCCCCAGGACAGTGCCCTATAGCTCAGGCATCAGACTGTGACTCTGGCAGCCAGATTAAAATGTGCAACTACAGCTACAGTTGGGAAATAGTGAACAAAATAAATAAAAATCCAGTAGAACCTAGATAATGTTAATCTGTGGTTTTCTAAGTCAATCTACCCATAGGGATCCTTCTATACAACAGTTTAGTGGCCTGTTTCTAGTTGAGTTCAACACCACTGGCCTACCATATTGATGGTATTGGGCCTTATAAATCAGACTGAAGTTGGGATCAGTCTCCCTTCTTGAGCATATGGAGACTAGCAGCAGAATCCAGTGAGAGAGAACAACAGAACATCAGGGCTAAATCTAATCAGATG